GGCTTTGCCCCTGCCCCTGCGCAGCCCTGACCCCCAGACCTCGTAGTGACAGCTCCCCGACCCCCTCGCCTCCACCCCATGGGCCCCGCTGCCCTCCTCCCCCCAGCCATTCCCCGGCCCCCCCCCCCCGATCCCCCATGACCTCTGCCCCCCCATGGTTGCCCCTGCATCACATGGTGCCCCCCATGACCCCCGCCTCCCATGGTGTCCCTGCCCTGCACGGTGCCCCCCGGGACCCCGATCCCCCATGACCTCTGACCCTCCACGCTGCCTCTGTCCCGCCTGGTACCACCCCATGGACTGTGCCTCCCATGGGGCAGCTCCCCCCCCACCCCTTCATGGTGCCCCCCCCCAGCGCTGCTCCCTGATTGGAGCTGGCGCTGCCATGGGGATAAAGCAGCCTGCAGATCCCAACATGTCCCACGTGGAGGGGGGGCAGAGTGGGGGGCTCAGCGCAGGGCATGCTGGGACATTTTGGCCACCTGCCAGGCCCCCTCCTCCCCTCACGGGGCCGGGGGGGCTCGGCTGCCTGGGTTCTCCGCAGCCCTTGCAGGGTGGGAATGGGAACCGGGACGCCTGGCAGGCTGCGGGGTCGGACTTGGACCTGGATGCCCGGGTTCTCCCCAGCCCAGTGGCGGAGTGCGGGCAGTGCCTCAGTTTCCCCAGATGGCAGGTGCATCACCCAGCTCCCTTCTTCAACCCCCCCGGGCTCCCTGCTGCACGTGGGCAGCTCCCCCAGGGACCCCAGGTGTCGGGGCCAGGCCGGGAGGGGGGGCGTCGGGCCAGGCAGCAGGAGAGCGGCTGGGAAAAAATCACTGCGGTTTAATCATCCGGGGAGCGTCAGGCGCCGGAGCAAGCAGGGTGGGCAGCCGGGGGGCCGGGCTCACTCCTTGGGGTAGTGGCGGGAGAGGTAGACGTTCTTGCCGTCGTACTGGGCCGTGCTCAGGCACTGCAGGAAGAAGTGGCCCAAGTCGTGCTTGGAGATGACGCGGGAGCCGCTCGCCGCGTTCACGGTCACCGTGTAGTCCCCGGTCAGCGGCTGGTCATCTGCGGGGGCAAGGGAGGGTCAGCAGGGGGGTCCCCAGCACTGTCCCCCTTCCCCCCCCAGCCCTGGCACACACCGGCGATGTGGGGCGGCATGACGGAGACGCAGTCCAGGCCCGAGTCCTGCAGGACGCGGTGCATGCGGATGTGGTCGTCGGTCACGGGCTGCAGCCTGGCCGGCACCTTGGCCGGGTCCCACATCAGGAAGGCTGCAGGCAAGGGGCCACCCGGGCCGTGAGCTGCGGGCACCCGGCTCCGAGCCCCCAGCCCTGCTGCACCCCTTGATCCCACCCCACCCCACCCCACCCCCTGGCATTAACCCCTGGCAGCCCAGCACTCACCCGACAGGCACACGACCACCTTGCGGATCCCGTGGGCCTTCATGGCGGTCACGATGTTCTTGGTGCCCTCGGACATCATGGTGGTGGGGCCTGGGGGGCAGG